TGTAGCGACTCCAGTCCAGACGAGTCAAATAAAAAGCTGGCAGTTGAACAAAGGGGTAATCGAATTCAGCTGAGAATTGATTTACCTATGCACAAACACACAGGATTCAATCGCAGACCAAAATTAAAAGCAGCATTCTTAGACAAAGGAGGATACCTTTCGCAAACAGCAAAAAAGATCGGGAGTGCATTGATTATTGAACTGATTTACGGTCCTGTATACTTGTGTCAGTATGCACTACGGGTTCACACTATTTATATGTGAAAGACTCTCGCACTGGTAAGTATACCGATCCACTGAACCGGGTTATTCAGGAATTTACTTTTTGGGAAGGGGAGGTCAAGGTTATAAATCACATTTAGAAAGTATCGTTATCTGTCGCTACGTGTGAGAACGCATACGGGAGTTCGTATAAAACCAACTAATGAAGAAATAAAGCTATAAAAACGGGGGTTGGATAGTTTACTGGAGCACAGCAGCTCGGTATAACGTTAAAGGTTTGCACTATAAAATCAAAATTGAATCAAGTTATTTGGAGCGAAGAGACTTGACAACCACTGTAGGCGTTTACGTCAAACGATGTGTACAACTATCACGGAAACTGCGACAAAACGACAATTACGGTTTAGTACATTGTGTGAACTGAGTTTGATTGCGTTCGGGTTGGTGGTTTGTGAACAGTTTAAATGATGCTGTGATCGAACAGATGTACTTGATGGTGATCGGTACGTGATTTGGGAGGAGCAATCAAATATTTATTGAGGCCATTCAAATTTATAGTACTTTTGTATCCAGATAACAGTGACAAAAATAAACGTAAAAACCGCACCAAAGCTCCAGTTATCGACACCTTTGACAAGGTCATTCAAGCTCCAGTTACTGATCAGTGAATTTTGCTACTAACTCAACCTAAGAAAAAACTGATTGCAATAAAGTGAGTTCAGATGATATGATGATTCAATTAGGCCTCCCCCCCCCCATTCAAGCAAACGCACAGACGAACATCTAACCTCCACCAAGGGGATGAACACTTGCTAAAAAGAAATTATCCCTCATTGGAGATGTGCAATCGTGCGCAAGGGATTTTTAACATGCTATGCATATTATTAGGTGTAAAGTCCGTGGGCGATTATCAAGACAGGTTCGCTGTCGGATGCAAGCCATAGCCGGAACGGCGTACCCAAAAAACGATTCATGTAGGGGCTCCAGCTTCCCTGACACACCCCACTCTAACCCCAACCCACACGCACACCATATCCCAAGTAATCTCGATTATCGGATTTTTCTATGCACACACGATTCAACCGCGATAGCTAGCTAAAACCATTCGCCCAAGTTCTAAGTAACATCTAATATTCAAAACGGATGCCCGTCCGAACCTTATTCATCAGAGAATTCGTCGTCTCTTGATGGCTTTATATGTGACTTCTGATCAAGAAAATCTGTGCAGCCCAATTCCCGTTATTAGTACGGCTACCAGCATCGCGTTGAGAACATCCCGCAACCACTGTCACTGTGAACAAATGACTTGAAGGCACACTATGTGTGTTGAGCAGGATGGCCTATTTTGTTTTCCCATGTGCAAAACGTCCACTCAACCATCATCTCAGCTATTGGTTTTGTTTATCATCGTGAATGTGAAGATGAAATTATGACCACTGTAATCACCTGTTTAAGTCTGAACTTCGCACGAACTTCGCAACAGGTTGGTAAGCTCCCCGAATTCACGATATTGGTGAACATGCGCACAATCGCTGAGCGCGTGTCCGAATGCGCGCACACGCACGTAAGCACGCACGAGCACGTATACACACTTGGTGATGCACGGCTCAATTTCGCTCTGTCCGCACGATATACAGTGGTTCTCTCACCTGACATCCATCGCTTCCTCGTCAAACAAATTTTCATCATTTCATCAAATCAGGATGGAAGTACAGGGGATGGGAATAGCGATACACAAAATGGTGAATGTCACGAAAAGATAAACACGAGATTGTGTTGTGCATTTTGTTCTGCACGAGCCATACAGCTGATCCGACAGGTGTGCGATAACGTCTTGTATGCGCGAGCAATCTCACGGAGTGGGATCAAGTGTATCAGGAACTATATGCATACGAAATAAAATCATGATAACGCCAAGGGACTCAGAACGTACGGTAGAAACAATTTTTCATGACTTCCAGTAGATTTTCTGAACAGTCTCACGGAGCATATTATAAACAAAACAGAGTGGAGAGTAAGCTCGTATCCAATTATTCGTATTCCGACCAATATATTGAAATATGTATTACTCAATCATGACAAAACTGCACCTTGACGTGGTGTGATGGCTTGCGTACCTCCATGACCCTGCGAACTACACAGGATAGCTTTTCACAGCCACAGATCCAATCATGTCTGAAAAGTCACTGGGTAGAGGTCCGACAAAGCTCAGTCAGATAAGGCCAGCTGTATGGACACCTCCTGACTATCCACGCTCGCTCCTGCAGAGGTCACGCCAGCAAATAAATAAGAGGAGGAGCAGTTTACCCGTCGGAAATTCCCGCTGAATACACGTAGGAGCGGGATACCTGGAGCCTGCTCCCAACAGTGGGAGACGTCTTCACAAGGTGGGTAGCATTCAGTCAATAAGGTGCTGTCCCAACAAAGTTCCGATTGTCTCACTGGGTGCATGAGACCAAGTGCGAATCCCAAACAGCGGACCGACAATCAACGCACCAGCGAACCCACTGAACCGAAACCCGAAGTCCTTACGTGACAGGTATCTAGAATTTCCCTCACAGGTGCTTTGGTCACGCTCCCGCGTAGGAACTACGGCACACTGCCTTTTGGTTCAGAGTTTCGAGTCAAAGGCTATGACTAGGGTTCCCAAAGTAAAACCCCTTCGTCGATGTGAGCTACCGTGAAGTAAGTCGTACCCTAAAGCCTCGAGTACTCATCTAGAAAATCCTCTTTCTCAGCAGTCTAGTTCTTCCTCTCAGTCCCGAATCGTACGTGTCTCTTGTTTACGCCACGTATAGGATAAAAACTCAGGGTTTATCCAGCAAGATTAACCAAGCAGAAGCTTTATTGTTCACAAAACCAAAATCTCCGTTTTACTTGGTTGCATTCAATGTCCGTACATTTTATCAGATTGGCAAACAATCTTCCTTAGCTAGAACATTGAAATTTTCAGTTTATACGTAGGCTGTCCCCAAAACACGCACTCAAGACCCTACTACAATTATCAACTTGGGCTCCCCAGATCCAACCTCATCCTCACACTTCACCCTTCGTGTGACAGGCGACTCGGCATCCGACGTTCGTGGTGTTGCTGGTGTTAGGTTCGCGCCAAGTGCTAAGGCTGAGCGCTCGCTTCTTGACTGGATTTCAGTCAGTGGCCTACTGTGCGCTGTACACCTAAACGGTTCAGTGTGGGTCAACAGTTACAGAACAAAGTGACTATGTTTATTCGTGCCTGTGTATGCACCAATCGACTGCAGTTCATCGGAAATGAAAGATGAATTCTACAACGATCTTTTTTAATTGCACCAAACTACTCAGTCAACGGATATCGTAGTAACCGTTGGAGACTTCAATGCTCAATTGGAATCCCTGGATGAATCGGAAAGACTTCTTGGGGGACAACATGCAATCCCAACCGGACAGACAACGGAGTTCGCCTACTTCAAATCTGCGCGGACTACGGATTGTTTCTATCGAGCATCAGCCTTCTCGCACAAAAACGACACCCTCTTACATGGGAAACGTCATCTCCTACTTAGCAGTGGACTCAAATTGACTGCATCGCTATCAGGAACAATCGAAGACTGCCATTGTCAGTGGTCTACAGCCGTGGACACGGACCACACTGTTACGAGCCAGTTTACCTTTAGGTCTAGTAAACCACCAAAAACGGATGCCCACTACACAATGTTAGCGATTATTGCAAATCGGCCTTCGAGGCGGAACTCTCTGATCGCCTCTGCTCAACCATTAGCCGAAGGACTCAAATGAACACTGGAGAATAATCAAAGAA